ACACACACAGTCTTACACGGGGACAGCTCCTAATCCCATCATGCTCGCCATGTCTTATGAATGAGATCTTTCAGGCAGGATTCGCACTTGGGTCCCCTTTACTTCCCTGTGGCTAGGAGCATGAGAGGTACCTGATTAGCTGAAAAGCTAAGCATTTGGCAATTAATCTGCAGATAAAAATAAAGTCAACTTCAAACCTGGGGCTGATTTAAACGTAAATAATGTGTTCCAACTGACCCATGAGGTTGGAACTGACGCAGAATGAGGACGGCGATGAAACAGTAAGGTACTTGGACACGTGCCCATGCACTGGCAGGCCTGTGGGCCCACCAGGGAGAGAGCCAGACGCTGGGTTACAGAGCAAGGGCGAAAGTGACAAAACTTGCTTCCTGGGCTCACAACTGATGCATTAATAAGACTGACCTCCTTTAGATGCCGAAAACATTTGTGTGTCCTTCAGTACTTCTAACAATATCACCAAAATAAGATGCAAAGCAGCAAACACATTGCTGTCCTTTGATTTGAAAACTGGGAGGCCTAACTCATGACCCACCCCCAAGTCCATCGCAAAAATGAACACAGACACAGAGGACCCAAGCAGCCCAACTGGCTGTGGAATGCATTATGGGATTTATATTATCAATGACTCTATGTCATAACTGTGCTTTTCAAAGACAAACTTTGAAATGGTTTCAAAGTCCTTGACTGCCATTAATAGTCCCTTCATTCAACAAACATCAAACAGCAGCTACTCTGAGTAGGCAGTACGCCAGGAACAAGGGAGACAGGAAGACACACCACAGTCATGCCTAGAGGCTCACCTGTCTCTGCTGGGTGGGAGACAGGAAGGCTAAGGATGATCACAGCCCAGGGTGGTCAGAGCTGGAAACTGCGGGAGCCCTGGTAGGCAGAGGAGAGCCCTCAGCCCAGTCAGATTAAGAGTGGGGGAATGCTGGGAAGAAGTAACAGGTGTTTTGAGTTTCAAAGGATGACTAGGAGTTAGGCAGGTAAATGAGTTGGGAAGAGAAAACAGCATTTGCAAAAGTCTGGGAATGTGAGAGGCCATAGGACATTCTGAGGCAGTAACAGGGTCAGCAGAGTGACTAAGGTACCTGTGAGGCCTGGGCCAGCTTGCCAAGGGCCTTATGCTCTATGTTGACAAGGTCCAACTTGATTTTGATGGAGGTGGCTGCTAAGCCTCTGGATGGTTGTATGCAGGAGAGTGATCAACCTACAAGTGATTACCTGAGGGTCTCCTGAACAAGCTGAGCAGCTCTCAGGGATGCTTTCCTTTATTCACTGCTCCTGAGGCAACAGCAACTTAAAAGCCTCATTAGCAGTCAGGTCTCCAACTAACAAGTAAGCCTGCCTTCCCTTCCATAATGCCCTCTCTCTGAGGCCATAGCCTCTTTCAATTGCATTCTAATTTCAAGAAGTGATAAACATATGCTTATGTTTCCATTTACAAGTTTTTGATTATCAGCCTGGCATTGTAGCTGCAAATTACCCATTTTCTATTATAATTATTTTTACTTCTCTAGAAGAAGAAGAAGAAGAAGAAGAAGAAGCATTTCTAAATTACTAAAGTGCCCGTGCCACAGAGGGAGGGAAGTAGAAAGCACTGCTGCGTCTTTTGCCAATGGCAATATAATAGCAAGAGTTTGAAAACCACAATGTAAGCTTGTGGGATGTGTCAGACCAGGCCTTCCAGATGGGCACATTTGCTTATTGTGATTATTTACCTAAAACCTGGCTGGATTGCAGCAAACCAGGGGTGAGCCTGGCTTGTGGCAGAATTACTGCTTGTGAGGGTTTTCCAAGAGTAGCTCCTTGAAAACTGGGTTGCTTTACGTGACTGGCCGTCCCCTCACGCTCCTGGGATCTAAATCTTGCTTTTCTGTTTCTAGCAGGAATTTTAAAAGATTAGAATGTCACTAACTCAGATACGTCCAAGCAACTACAATATTTGGTAATATGATTAAAATTCAGCCATGCTATTTCCTAAAGAAGACCCAACGCAGGGCCACGTCTCGCTGCCTTTCTGCCCTGGTCAGGGGTGGCTGGGGTTGGGGTAGAGGACAAATCTTGATAATTAATGAATAGGATGCAATGAATTCAGGTCACTAGCTGAAGCGAAAAGGATTCTGTCATGCAGAGTTGCAGATCTTTTGGCAGCTTAATGTCGCATTTAATTGGCATGTAACAGTAATTGAGAAAGTAGCATGTAAAGGAGATCACAACCATGGCTTTGAAGTTCCCATTGGCGGCTTTGTTTCTCAAGCGCAGCTTGAATGAGCTAAACAGTTTTGTTATTGTGACCACCGTCCAAATTCCTAACATCTTCCATGTGTGACTGTGCTCAGTCCTGGGGACAGAGGCATGGAGGATACGCTCTCTGTTCTCATGGAACTCATTTTAGTGGGGCAGTCAAATATGGAGAAACAATGAACAGCTACTTAAATATTCAAAATGCCAGCACTTTGGGAGGCTGAGGCAGGCAGATTGCTTGAGGCCAGGAGTTTGGGACCAGCCTGGGCAACATAGTAAGACCCCCATCTCTACGAAAAGTTTTTTTAAAAAAATAGCTGGGTGTAGTGGTGCATACTTATAGTCCCAGCGAATTGGGAGGCTGAAGTGGGAGGATCTCTTCAGCCCAGGAGGTTGAGGCTGCAGTGAGCCATGGTTGTGCCACTGCACTTCAGCCTGGGTGACAGAGACCCAGTATCTAATGTCAAACGAAAACCAAAATGCTACTTGTAGTAAAAAACAAAAGGTCACAACATTGTAGCTACAGAAATTCCAAATCTTGTTCTTTTTATATTTAAACCTTTGTGGACGACAATAATACAATAATAAATCAAGGATAACAAAGCAATAATAACTAAAAGTTAACATACTATTTACTAGGTGCTTTTCAGGTCTACTAACTCATATTTTGGCCGTACGTATACTGTGCCTATAATTACTTTTATCTTTAATATTTGCAAACACTGCAGAAATTTGCAGAGAAGTACTATCATCTTGTTTCTGATGGGGACACAGAAGCTCGGGGCTCCATCCCAAGATGTGGAACTAGGAAATCTAGGCAAGTTTAAGCTCCTGTAGTGAAGAGCTCGCCAGGCCATTTCACTCCCTGCTGCTTTTAGAGGGGCAGAAACTAACAGAAGCCCTGACTGAAACCAGTCTGCCCCACCATCCAATCCACAGGATCTTTGGTATTCAAGATGGGCTTATTCATCTTTGTAGGAAATAAATGTAATCAGCATATTGACCATCCTTTAGACATCAACTATACCTTCTTCCCTCAAGAGTGAGTTGTTCCGCTTCCTGTGTATCTCAAGATCTTTGCCCAAGCAAAGGAAGGTAAAAACAGGCTAGTGCAGCAGGTGTCAGAAATTACTCTTTCTTCAGCAGCAAAGTGAATGAGGCCTCCAGTCAGGATTCAACAGGAGTGTATCTTGGGAGGTGTGCAGTGGGTTGTGTGCTGTGGCTGTCGTGGGTATGTGTTGGTGTTGCAGGGGTTGTTGTAGAGAAGCACATCCTGCAGTGGGGTGCTGTGGGGGCTTCTGTGGTGGGGAGTCTGCCATGGAGGGGTTTGATGGAGAATAGGTCTCTAGGTGTCCCATGGGGAAGTGTGCCATGAATGTGGGGTGAGGGTGGGTGACAGGAGGGCCATGCTGCACGATGTGTTGTGGAAGTCATGTTGTGGGGGATGGATCATGAGGGTATGCTATGGAGGATATAGCATGGGAATGTGCCATGAGGGTACACTGTGGGGGGTTTTGCTGTGGGGGGTATCATGGTAGGTGTGGTGGGTGGTGCTGTGAGAGTGTGTCTTGGGTTGCAGTGGGCATGTTGTGGGGTTGTGCTGTGGAGATATGTCCTGAGTGAGCTGTGGGGCTCCCTCGAGGGCTCCCTACCAGCCCAGAGAATGCCATTCTTGCCCACTGGACCTGCCTAATCCCCACAATAGTAAGTGCATGCCCCAGGAACCCCACCCTCACTCTACTCCGAGCCTTAACATTCTCTGGTCTCAGGGTAGCCAGTGGACATCACAGGTGGCATGTTTGGGGGTTCTGCTGGTTGGAGGAGCTCAGGAAGCACCCCTCTCTGTAGTACAGCTCAGGTAGTATCTGCAGGTCACATCTAACACAGCTTCTGCAGGGATCCTTTCCCAGAGCTCACTGCCCAGCTAACCCACCCTGGGACTCCCCAAGATACAGCACAAGTGAAAGGAAGGAAATACCTTGGCATTCTCCCCTGCAGTGGGGCCTGGCACTGAGGAGTCTAGGCTCAGAGTCCGCTCTCCCAGTGCAGCAGCTTCTCTTAAGGGCACACCCTCGCACCCCCAGCTCATCGCTCCAAGCCTCTGGCCTATTTGACTTCTGTGAAGAGCCATCCCCTAGCAAGACCTGGGGTGGCAGAAACTCAAGAGCTCAGACATGCAGATGAAGTACTTGTTTGTTTGGAATGTATGCATCAATTCCCCCCCAAACTTTTTTATGAAAGATTTTCAAACATGCAGCAAAGTCACAAGAATTTTAAAGTGAACATCTGGAATATCACCACCTAGATTCTACCATTAATATTTTATTGTTTGTTTTATCATATATCTACCCCTCTATCCATTTGGCAATCCAGCTTATTTTTTTGATGCCTTTCAAAATAAGTCGCAGACAGCAGCATACTTATTTCTAAACACTTCAGCATGCATATTTTTAATCAGAGTTCAGTATTTGTTTAGCATTTTTTCCTTTCTTGGAACATACAATGGAATGCACAGATCTTGAGGGCACCATTCCATGACTTTTAACAAATACATGCACCATGTAACTCCTACCCCATCAACACATAAAACATCTCCCTCGCCCTGAACATCCCCTTGTGTCCCGTCCCACTCAATCCCCCATTCCCCTCCCTCAAGCAGCCACCATTCTAAGTTTTTCCACCATAGACACATTTTGCCTCTTTTAGAACTTTAAATATAAATAGAATCACACTGTGTGGTCTTCTGTGTCTGTTTTACTCAGCACAACGTTTCTGAGGTTCACTCACGTTGTTCTATGTGTCAGCAGTTTGTTCCTTTTCATTGCTGAATGGTGTTCCATTATTTGGCTATACCACAGTTTATCTGTTCTCCTATTGATGAATTACTTTTTTGTAAATAAAGATGATCATTGAATCGAGGTTATTCTGTAATATGGTTGCTCTCACCTGCATTTGGACCTGTTTATCTTGCTAAGCAGATCGGGGTGCTCAAAGCTAGCACAGCTCATGAGAGTGCTTGAAGAACATAAATAGTGCATTTTATCACCTTTATGACAGAAAGAAGATCAAAAAGCACAGTTCTAGAGTAGAGACTCCCCAGGTGTGATGGAATGCAAGATGATTTCAGGTGAGAACTTAAAAATGTCAAAAGAGAATATATTTATTACAACGATGCCCCATTTATGGCCTGTGAAACTAGTTTTCCTACATGCAAGGGATGCATGGTTTGCTTTTTAAGTGCATCTGTTTATATAACAAAAAACTGATTTAAAGAAAAATATTAAACAAATATATGGGGGGAGTAAAGAAAAAAACCTCATGAGGCTTGGGGCATGCAGATTTTGAGGTGTGGGAAACATTCTTGAGCAATGGTTGTCAATCCTAGATGCACATTAGAACCACCTGGGGAGCTTTAAAAATACCCCTGCCTAAGTGCCACAACCCAAGCCTTTCATGTAATTGGTCAAGGTACATCCAGTCATCCATAGTTTTTAAAAGCTCCCCAGGTGATTCTAGTGTGCAACGAGGGATGAGAAACAGTTTAGAAAGTAGTAATTTTCAAAGATCAGCAGTATCAGTATCACCTGGGTGCTTCTAGAAATGTACGTTTTTGGATCCCACTCCAGACCTTTGCCATTAGAAATCAGGTCTGGGGCCCAGAAACGTGGGTCTTAACTAGTCCTCTTGGTGGTTCTAATTCTTGAAGTTTGAGACCCATTGTCTAGGGGTAGGTGGGACAAGTCCAAAAGGCCACTGCTGCCTCCCAAGATGAAGGTCTCCACCATGGTGCCAATCCAGCCAGTGTCAACTAGGTCTGCCTGGTTCAGCTCCTGGGAAGCTCCTCTCCTCCTGAGGACAGAGAGGGTAGGTGGGAGCCGAGTGGTGAGCAGCTGCTGGCCAGTGACCAAAGGGATGATATCCTATGGTCCATTGGGAATTAGCCTCAATACACAGACCAGTTAATCAGCCCTCAGAAAATCGAGTGTTGACTATAATTTTATTTTCACCATGATTTTTGATTAACAGTGACCTCCTTCCACTCCATTACCCTTCTTAATTGAGAATTGACTACACAGTTAAAATGAATGTTTCATCCACTAACAGAGCTGTACCAGATTCATCTTAAAGTCCCTCACAGCTCAAGAAAATGTGATGAGTCTGCATATATATTGATCTTATACAATTCATTTCACCAAAAATTTATGAAATTACCAGTAAGGTCACCTGTTAAGCATTCATGTCCAAAGGCTTACAGGAAAGAAATGGGAGTTTTATCTGAAGGATAGCATTGTATTTAGAGAGCTAAATCAGAAATTGTGCAAAACCTGGCCTCCTGATTTGCAGTGATTTCTCTACTAAAAGATAACACAGTTCTTCAAATTTGGTAAAGTCTTTGGAAATATTGTTACCTTACAGTTAGAGAGAAGATAAGGTAACAACAAACACTCCAAAGGCTGCTTCTTTTTACCAGCTGGCTATTTTGATAAGGAAAAATACAAAGTAAGAGGAGACTAAGGGGAGATTAAGAAATCTGATTATCTGTTTCAATGCTAAGTTTGAAAAATGAACTTTCATATAACACCAAAAAAGATTAGAATTTGCTAAAGAAAACATGCTGGGGAATCTAAAGTAATATATGCAATGCCTGTTAAGTAGTATGTACCATGAGATATTTCATAAAACATCATCATCCTTTTTTCTGTACCATAATGTAGTAAAGGAATAATGTCACCACGGAGGAAAAACCCACCCACCTGTTTGTGGAAAGACAGGTGCAAACCACAAGGAATCTTACAATGATTTTAGGTGTCGTAAAAGACTCAGCCAACTGTTTCTTATTTACCCGACTGCAGATTGACTATAAAGAGCTCAACAAAAGCACCTGTGCGACAGGGCGAACTCAGAATCAGGTCTGGTGATAAGACTTTCTTGGAGCCTGTTCCCAAGATCTGCCCTATCACGGGCAAGGCACCTAATGTAGGACAGTGTCTAGTTCAGCTTAAGACTGAGTATATCCTAGTACTTAGTGAATGACTTAAACTTTTTTTTAAGCTGGCTGCTGTGGCTCATGCCTGTAATTCCAGCACTCTGGGAGGCTAAGGTGGGTGGATCACTTGAGGTCAGGGATTCAAGATCAGCCTGGCCAACATGGTGAAACCCTGTCTCTACAAGAAATACAAAAAATTAGCCAGGCCTAGTGGTGCATGCCTGTAATCCCAGCTACTTGGGAAGCTGAGGCAGGAGAATCACTTGAACCTGGAGGCTGAGGTTGCAGTGAGCCAAGACAGCACTCCAGCCTGGGCAACAGAGTGAGGTTCCATTACAAAAATAAAATAAAATAAAAAACCAAAACACATTTTATTATGCAAAATTGGAAACATATAGAAAAGTCGAAGGCTGGGTGTAGGGGCTCATACCTGTACGCCCAGCACTTTGGGAGGCTGAAGTGTAAGGATCACTTGTAGCCAGGAGTTTGAGACAAGTCTGCCTAACAGCAAAACCTATCTCTATAAGAAATTAAAAAAAATCTTAGCCAGGTGTGTTGGTGTGTGCCTGTAGTCCTAGCTACTTTGGAGTTCCAGGGAGAGGATCACTGGAGCCCAGGAGTTCAAGATTATAGTGAGCTATGACTGTGTCACTGCATTCAGCTGGGCAGTAGAGTGAGACCCTGTCTCTAAAAAGAAAAATTGGCAACAATAACAGTATAAGGAACTGCCACACAGAGGTCCCCCCCAAATTATTGACATACTTCTATATTTACTTCACCTTCCCCCCTTAAGTATATGAAGACACATCATAAACACCATGATATTTTACCTGTAAATACTTCAAAAATAAAGGGCACGTTCTGAAATAAGGACAGCGTCTTACTTTTCCATAATATGATCACACCTGAAAAAACTAATAATTAACAAAAGTTCCTCGGTATCACCTACTAGCAATCCAAACATCAGTGTATGTTTTTTGGAAAAATAAAACACAGACACAGTTGCGGTGACTCCAAATGGTAGAAATGAATGTCCCTGCAAAGTCCTCAAGAAGCAAAGCCCTCATCTGGGGGCTCCATCATTTCCACAAATGTACCAGAATGGGAAGTGGCACTTCCTCTAGTGGGGGCCTCCTCTTCGAGATACGGGGGGCTCTCATTCCCACAGGCTCACAGTATCCAGACACAACTCTCCCAGGCCTCCTTCCAGTAGCCAGTGAATGCCAGTTGTCTCTCTTCTCTCATTAGGGTGATGGTCAGGCAGAAGCTCAGGGGGTCAAAGAGAGGCCTACATCCTACCAAATCCTAAAGATGGGCTCCTAGCTCCTGCTTCCTCTGATGTACGGTGGTGCTGCTAGAGATGGAAGTGCTGAAGAATTGGAGGAGGAAGGCCTTGCTGACTCTAGGAGCAGAGAGGTTCTCCAAGGGTGCCTTTGGCCACCCATTGGGCCTTCTGGTATCCCTTATTGGCCTCTTAGTAGTCCTGTGCCTTACCACAGAGGCACAGACTTTGGTTCTTCAGACACCTGTCCATCAGCTACTCTCCCTTTGCTCTCTTTTAATGACCCCCCCATCAATATTCCTATTTATTAAGCATCTATTATGTTCCAGGATCTTTGCTGGGTAATTTTCAGACATGATTTCCTTGATTATATATGCCAGGCTTTTGAGGGAGGCATGGTTACTACCCTTCACAGGTGTATTCGTTTCCTACCCCTGTTGTAACTAATTGCCCCAAGCTCAGTGTTTCATCTGCAACCTTAATGCCCCCAAAGCACAGAACCTAACACATTCACAGGTCCTGGGAATTAGGATGTAGACATTTGGAGGGCCATTATTCTGCCTACCTCACTGTGCTCAGAGAAGCAATGGTGCTTACTCAAAGTCACACAGCTATTATGCAGTACTAGACTCCAAAGTCAGATTCCGGGATCCCAAACCTAGCTTTGCTCCGGCTACTTCACTGTGTGAATTTGGGCCACTTAACGCCTCAGACCTCAGCTTCCTCACCTGTGAAACATAAAGGTAGTCTAAATACTCTCTAAGATGCCCTCCAGCAGCTGGTTCATGACCCTCTGAGCACCTGGGCTTTCCTCTAACTACACACATGACTTGAAGTCAGGACCCTACGAGCCCTCACCTGATCTGTCCGCACTGACCCTGGCTCACGTACTGCCCCTGAGAGGGGGAGATGTAGACTTCTGGTTGCAGCGCGGACTTCATTCTCTCCCTGGCTGGAATTTTCTGAGGCCTTTGTTCTGGGAAGCTTGGAAACATGGATTTAAGGGCACTTAACCGTGTTCACCCCAGCACCCTCCAAGCATACCACACCAATCTAAAGTCAACTACTGTGTTTCCCTGCAGTTCCCAGCTTAGAGGGAAGTAAGGATTAAGGGCTCTTTGTGCAGTGAAAAGTAAAGCAGAAGGTGAGAAAATCAGACAGTAAACACAGAGACATGAAGGCTTGTTTGCTGAGAGTTCCCAAACCAAAAATGTTTTTAATGCGCTTTTTAAAAGCACTTCATATTACAGGAGATATCAAACATATGAAAGTAGAGAGATTAACACCGGAACCCTTCCTTAACTCTCAGGTCTAGCATCCCCAGGTTGGATACTCTTCTCAGTCTGAAATTCCAATTTTGAATCACCATCCACAGTGGGCAGCTTTATTGTGTGGTCCTGCAGCACCTTTGTTTTCAAAACTGCTAGACTACGATTTCTCATGATTCTGAAAGGTCTGTCAATCAAGATGATCAGAAAACTTCAACTTTCTGTGAGAAATGAGTGGTCCAGGAGAAAAATATATGATTCCTGAAGAACAAATCCAGTCCTCTTTCAATAGGGATACTGGAAAAAAATAGCGCCTTCTGAGATAAGGGGCTATAAACTCCACATAAGCCTGGAACTGCCATCTTCCCACCTTAAAGAATGAAGCCAATTCAGTGGTAATAAGAGCTGAAAGACAGAGAAGGTGAGATTCCTAGCACCATCATCTGTATGATAACCTGGACCCAGCTGTGCTTGATTCCCCAGAAGTTTTCCATTCTGTTAGCCATATGCCTAATTTTGCTTAATTTAGTTTCAGTGAAGTTTTTCTTTCTTACAATAGAAGAATCTTGAATACAAGCCATCCTAGAAAGCCTTCTTTAAAGCAACAAGCACAACTGTCAGTCTTTCTTGTGAAAATTAGAGTTTTGCCTCCTAAATTTAACAAAAAAAATTTATATTCCTTAAAGAATAAGTTTCTTAGCAAAACAATATAAGTCTGAGATTTAAGAATACTTCCTTGACAAGAGAGAACTCTCTCTTGCTGGATTTTTATCAGGACAGCAATTCTTCAATGATACCTTAGTACTGCTATGTGATGAGTACCACCTGCACCCTCCCCCACAATAAACTCCTGTTGGT